AGACCGATCTAGCGGCGTTATCTAAAAAAATCCGATTATATAGTGCTAAAAATCGTCAAACTAACCAAAATTTACAGTACTACCTTCGTAGTCACCCATAATAGCTGTGACGGGGTCACACAGCACCTTGCACAGAGGAAGTGCTTAAGGGTATATACTACCCGAGTGGACGTTAGTTCACGCGTTTCAGGCCTCAAAGGGAACGGCTTGCTTCTTGATACAGTAGCTGTAAGACTGCTGTATTTATAAGTAAACTAAGCTTGGGCTCTGTACACACTAGATGTTACCGAGAGTGGAGCTAAGTAGTCATGCCCTGACTGGCTCCTAGATCACCTGGTACCGTGTACCCGGTATCCATAAGAGTGACGGGTCATACTTTATGTAAGCTGGGGGTACACTGGATTGTACCCCGTAACAATAGCTCACACTCAGGTCCCGTTCTTCGTTAAAATTGAAAATGAACCATCAATGTAGCGGAAAACGATAAATACGTTTCGTCATCATATGACCGTCATGAAGTCGAAGTCTGGTGAGACCATATATACGTCTCATCAGATTTTCACCACATTTATGTCAAAGTTTGTGTCATGCCGTAAGACTGACTTACGACGCTTCGACTTTTTTATTTGACAGTTTTGGGCGTCCATAGTCCAATGTCATTATTTTTTAGAGCTGAACTGCTATCTCCTCAGTACAAACTCACTTAACCCCTTAGTTCCTTTATATTGGATCTTCCAACATAAGGGGTGTATACCCTAATTCACTTCTGTTGCACCTTTTATTTTATGTTGGAGGTCCAACATAAGCAAATCTTATACCTGAATTTTGTATGGGGCAACGGTCCATATCCCCCCTTTCCCCGCTATAGTGAAATGAAGTCATTGATATGAGTGTAAAACGGTCACATACACAGGCTTAGGTTTAGTTTGGTTGAATGAGTTAGAAAAGGGAGGTACACACCCACTATCGAGCGAGTGGCCACCAGCCACCAACCTCCTCACTCTTCAAAACGACGGCCGATAGCAACATGGTTGCGCCGACACCCAAGACACCGCGTCACCACCTCACCGAGCAAGAAAGGCGCCTCTGTCGCGAGGCTCTGCTAAGTGAGCGTCACGAGCGCCGCATTCGACGGACAGAGCAGAAGAGCGGCAGCGATGGAGCATGGCAGATGAAGGCGAAGAAGGCGACAAAGAAGAAGGCTGCCAAGCGCACAACGGCAGATATGGAGGTGGCGCAGTATAAAGGTCTGTATATTCCTTCAGCAAGTGCTCAGGTTGCAGACACGGCGGGCGAAAATGAGGGCTCGCGAAACCAGACGATTGCTGAAGCGAAGGAGACGGTAGAGACAACCGCGATAGCGGATGCGATGGAGGTGGAAGCAGACCACGAGACGGAGGTGACAGAAGTCGTCGCGGACATGGTTTTGAGCGTTGAGACTGCGCTGCCTGCCCAACAGTCTGGTATCGCGTTAGCTACTACTGATTCCAGTGCTGAAAAACGAAAGCGTAGTACTCAAGTGCCGACAAGAGAGCATCGCCGCGCTCTCCTACAAGAAGACAGCGATGGCGACGATGACACGGTGCGTTTTGTTCGTTTATCCAACCTAGAAGGATTGTGGCTGACAACATGTCTAACATAGTATCCAACGTACGTGATGTATGGTGAACAGAGAATGCAAGGTGACGAAGACGAGAGTGTTTACGAAGCAGACGTTGTGCACAGTGTACCTGCGTGTGTTATTGACACAGACCCTAACTTTATGGACGAAGGAGCTGACGAATGCACCGGGCTCAACTCCGACGAGGACCCAGAGCTTCGTGAGGAACCTGAAGACGAAGAGGATGCTGATGACGATAGTTGGGACGGTGACTGGGACATTGGAGAGCTGACAGATGAAGATTCGGACCACGACATCGAGGAGCTTCCAAACACGGCGTGGTTATCCGCAGCGAAGAACGCACCACTGATCACTGCAATGCGTACCGATGGCTGGGAGTATGGTACGTTATGTTGGCCGAATCCAACATAATCCTTTCATTTTGTTTCTGAGTTAACATAAAGGCTAACATATTTTTGTCCTTGTGTGTTGTATCTAGACGCGACTAAATTTGGACCTGACCCAACGTATGCTGGGTTGTATGATGGGCCATACGGACCAAGTGACAGCGTGCTACGCCTTGGGGACGATCCGCTGGCATTGCTTTTCTTTTTCCTGCCGCCGAAGATTTGGTCCCAAATTGCTGTCGAAAGCAACCGCTATCATACTCAGTCAATACCTACGAGGGCCCGCTCAATTCGCAGACAGCAACAGCGTAGTGGTGGCGAAGCAGAAGATCTTGCTGAGATCAGACGGCGGTTGTCAGCAGTTGAAGAAATACAAACTTACGAGGTCCTTCAAGTTATGGCATTGCTGATTGCACGTATGTTGGTCCCCATCCGGAAAGGCATTGCAGCGCATTGGTCAATGAAGAATGTTGGAGTTCTACCGTCAAACCACTTCAGTCTCGTGATGGGAAAGAATCGTTTTTTTCATATCATGGGATATCTACACTTTTCGAGCAACAAGTCGCCACAAGTCGCCACAAGCCCGTACGGACCGAGCGTGGAAGATTCGACCGGTGCTCGATGTGCTACAGCGAACATTCGCTCGTGGATACAGAGCTCCCCCAGTCATCAGCTTCGATGAAGCAACACTGCCTTCGCGCTCGCGATACAATCCCATGAGGATCTTCAACAAGGACAAGCCCCACAAGTGGGGGACGAAGGTGTTTGTTGCTGCGTGTGCCAAGACCGCGTACTGCATGAGGTAACTTGAGGCAAGCTTCGGCTTGCCTTTTTTTTTGGCCCAAGTACTTATGTTGACTTGTCCAGCATAAGAATCCTGCGCCATCTGTTGATACAACATAATATTAACATAATCGTCTCTGTTGATGTGTTTGCCTGCTAGAATTGAGATTTATTGCGGGGCGAAGCCACATCTACGTACTCCTGTTCCAAAGGATAACAACACTGGAGAAGCGGCTGTACTTCGAAACATGAAAGCTCTCTTATCTCCGTCACCGACGTCTCCATGGAGATTAGTCGTCACCGACCGTTTCTACACGTCGGTCAAGCTGGCGCTGGAGCTGCTTCATTATCGGATGTATCTAACGGGGACGATACAGACGGATAGATCAGATTACGCTGCTGGAGTGATCACTACGAAAAAGAAAAAAAGGTGAACAGGCGCGAGGTACTGGTGCCTCCGCAAGGTACCATCAAGCTGGCTCAAAACAAGATGCTTCCGCAACTAACTGCTGCCATGTGGATGGACCGTAACCCGGTGCACCTGCTCTCAAGTGGGGGCAGCCGCCAAACCAGCACCGTGAGTACGTACTACATGCATTGGGTTCCCATTTGGGTGCTAGCACTAATTGTATTTGTATTCTAGTGAGACGCATCCACGGAGAAATGACGCCGGTGCCGGCTCCAGAGCTTGTTCGCGACTACCACCGCTGGATGGGTGGAGTCGACGTCCATGATCAACTCCGGTTGCAACGTTACAGCGTGCAACTTTGCTACAAAACACGCAAGTACTACAAGACTCTGTTTCTGGGGCTTCTGGATATGGCGCTCGTGAACGCGTTTATCGTTCATCGACACTATCGAAAGGTAAACAACAGGCGCCCGCCAAAACACTTCTCGTTTTTTTAGGAATTGATGGAGCAGCTACTGGCAGTAGATTCAATCGAAGCGTTTGACGAGATTGAGGTAAGTCAAATGTTGACCAGTCATCTGCTTCAGCAGCCTTCCAACATAACAACTAACTTATGGTGGGCTTCACTGTATTGGAACAGCAAGCGACATCTGCGCAAGATAGAACTGCCCCTTCGCCGGCAAGAGCAGATTCAACACAGCTACAAGGAAGCGCATTGTCAGCTATCGACGGACATTGTTTTGAAGAAAACCCAGATACTGTCGATTGCGAGCAGGGTGTGAAGCGACGCCACCGATCATGCAAAGTCTGTGCCATCTACAAGGTCAAGCCTCGCAAGTTTACGAAATACTTCTCCCCGGATTGCTCGAACGGGAACAAACGGTGCGTAGCTCGCTTGGTACCCTTACCGTAAGCTTTGGCTAACTCGTTTTGATTTAGTAAATACCTATGCAACGTTCCGCGTGAAGGCAGGGTCAGTACGTGCTTCAGCATTTGGCATGCTGATTGGAACAACGGCAACGACATCCCGCGCGACCTACTGCAAGAGCACAGGACACGTGAACGACCGCCAGCGTCGCGGCCAGGCAAGAAGCGGAGACGCAGACAGCAGGTAGGCGAGAGCGGAGCAAGTGCTGGTGCTGGTGCTGGGGAGTCGAGCGAAGAAGATGATGAAGCGGTGGAGGAGGAGGCGTAGTGGTTGCGCCGTCTGGTCGTACATGTCTATGCAAGGAGCAATCAATTGATACGGCACTTGATCTTTCTTGTTATTGGCTATAATAAATGAACTTACCGCTGCTGGACGTATGCAACAGCACAAAGATAGGCTAATCAATAAACAGTACATATCTTATGTTTATTTATACAGCATAGTTGTATATGATCGTCTCAATGTACTACATAAACCCTCCTTTATGTTGGAGAATCCGTACTATACACACTGGCAAGTCGTTGTTACCACCCCGAACCCGCGCCAAGATATCCGGACTTAATTGAAACCCCATACAAATTCCTTTATATCTGTATATGGGACGAGGTCAAAATATACCCTCATATTTGAGGCCGGGAACTAAGGGGTTAACACATTAGTTGAAGTATCGTGTTATTATTTGTGATATAGTGAATTAGAATGTCTTTATTTAGTTTTTACTTAAAGTACCTCACAATTGAATGACAGCAGCTGATTAGGCAGGTGTTTTAAATAAAAGCGGGTTTCTCGAGAATCCAGAAATACTACTGTAAAGGAGTTACTGACTCCTTGGAAATTCCAATGGAATACTGACTCAAATGCTTGGTGCTTCGACTACAGTAAGCACTCAAACCACTTAACAGGCATCTTTGCCTCGTCAATGAGAGCATCGCCACTTACAAACTCCATGTCAAAATGATTGAGCTTCGTCCGGTAAAACCTGTCACGATAGGAATTCCCGAATTTCGATTCGGGAATTCCCGCAGCACAGCTGGTGAACTCTACCATCCCGTCGTTGCGCTTAGACTTGTGCGGTACAGTCTTGCCAAGCATCCAAAATATTGACTGATACAATGAAACAAGCCCAGTATAGTTTTCACCGCACATCACAGCGTACACATTGTCTCGATAAGCTTCTTGAGCAGCAGTGTAAGCCGCATCGAGCTCTGCTGAGCTGTGTGGGCCACCTTGAATCGGTAAAGACTTCAATCCTGTTGTTGGCGGGCACTTTCCAGTAGCCTCAGCGACTGTTTCCAAAACAGCAGTCGTTCTACCAGCACAGGAGTCTTGGATAAAATCGGAGCACATACTCCCTCTCATCGGCCCTGCTAAGCCCACCCACGTCGAGCTCGAATCAAGGCTACATTTTTTATTGGCAATCGCACCGGCCAGCATGAGATTTCCCATTGAGTGGGTCACCACGATAGTATCTGCAATGACGGAGTTCGTACTCGTATGGCTCACTGCCATGACTCGATTGCAGACTTTTTCCTGCAACGTATCGCTTGTCCAAGGGTTACCCGATGTGTTCAGGTACGCGTACGTCATCGACGTACAGCACGGAGCATGACCGTCCAAGTCGCCCCAATAGTAGAACCGGTCTCGATTCCGTGGCATATCCCTTTTGATTCCCAAGCCATGAACGAACACACACGGCCGCGGCTTCGACTTGCACGAACATGAGTCATATAATGAGAAATCGATTTCTGCTTCTAGTTTTCGAGTACTGTTGGTATCCACGGATTCTCCTGTGAGCAAAGTTTTCCCGATTGCAGTCACTGAACTCGAAGAAGCTGCTGCGGCACATTCACGAGGGGCATCGAGTGGTTCAATAATGTCCACCCTATTGTCGAGATATTCCACCGCGATATCCATGTCACTACTACTCATTGTGAGCCCCGAAGGTTTCGCAGTGCATAGAACAAAGTTAATACCACCCACCGACACCTTGAACAACTTGTCAGACGAGCATTCGGTCCCAGCACTGGTATTATTAATACTTGACGAAATAGTCGTAGCTTCATTGATCGCCGAGATAATCGAATTAATCGACGGAATTCTCCTTGATGGTTCATACACGTAGCACGTCACCAAGCCAGAAATGGAGCTGTCGTCAATCGAGTTAGTCGAGAGGTACCCAGTCCCACTGACCTCGGTGTAGCTGTAAAGGACTGTGTCTTGAGCAAACTGCGCGTATACGTCGTAGTGTACGTTACCTTTATTGGTCGACACGGTAGGGGTAGCGAGCATGGAGAACTCCGAATGGCCGTAGACTTGCATGGACGCTCCTTTTAGCATGAATTGGAATCTCAATGATGGCCAGTTCGCCGCCTCCGAATCCTGGGAGCTTGGAGTGTTCTGGTGCTGGGTGACGACATTGTGCGGGACCTCTGCAAAAACTACAAACAGACCCGCGACGAGTGTGGTAAGCCGTAGCACAGGTAAAGGCATCCCCGAAGTAGGCGGATGGAATTGCTGTGGCTGTGTCTCTCTCCGGCTATTGCCGATTGAATCTCGTCGTTGGAATTGGAATGGCGTTGTGTTTCCACATCCAGATGAGCAGCATTTGTTTCATGTTGGTTATGCAAATCACGACCTGCATAGCAACATGAAATGCTTCAGTATGTTCAACAATACCATCAGCAGTGACCTCAAGTCAACATACTATGTTGACTTGAGGTCACTGCTGAAAGGAGGTCTCAATTGGATATATACTGTACATTGTACTTTGTGTATTACGGTACACTGTACACCAATTAGGGCTAGGGTGTAAAGAAGGCCTAGAACAATGCTTTGTAAATAACACTTTTTTAATTTCTTAAGCAGTAATTTCCGATTTGGGATTCCCGATTTAGGATTCCTGAGCTAGGATTCCAGAGTTAAGAATTTGCCCGACTTGAAGTGTTAAACACGAAATTTGCTCCTCTTAAAGTTCGCTCGCTGTAACTGCGATGATGGAATCTGGGCGCCGCAGTACCGGCGTGGCCGCGACGAACCTGCATGTGTTGGACCGTCCGCTGAGTCGTGGCAAGAGCGAGGTAAGTCTGAGCGCATTCTCCTTCCTCTTCTCTGAGATGGTTCAGTACTTCCAAGGTCGCGTGCAGAACATCTCAGACTTGGAGAACCGTCTAGACGGCGCCGGATTTGGTGTCGGCGTGCGTGTCGTGGAGCTTCTGTGCCACCGCGAGAAGTCTGGCAGAAGAGAGACGCGGCTACTTAACATGCTGCAGTTTATCGTATCTACCTGCTGGAAAGCGCTCTTCGGCAAGGCAGCAGATGCGCTGGAGCGCAGTACGGAGAACGAGGACGAGTACATGATCCACGAACTCGAACCTCTCACCAACAAGTTCGTGTCGGTGCCCCCAGATCTCGGGCAATTGGACTGCGCTGCCTACATTGCCGGCATCATACGCGGTATCCTCTGCAGCAGTGGCTTCCTAGCGGATGTCACAGCGCACACAGTGGAAGTTCCCGGAGGACAGAGAGACAAGACGGTCTTCCTGGTCAAATTCGACGAGAGTGTCATTCGTCGGGAGCGAGTACTGACATAAGAAGAGTAGGGAGAATGGTTAAATAGACCCTTGCGGTCTTACTTAGAAAATTGACGCTATCTAGTGGGACATACGGACGTCTTCCATGGTGCTGGCCGGTGGCTGTCCCCACGTGGCGTAGTCGGCGCGTTCACTGGCCTTGTACTCATCCACCAGATTCTGCACCACTTCGCGCGCATTGTCAAATTCATCCAGATTCTCGGCGAACATTGGCTCCTTCCGGTAGTTCTCAATGAACGCTCCATGTTTCTTAAGGCGATCGTACTGCAGTAGCAGCTTGTGGAACAATGCGCCGATGCTCGTGTGGTTAGCCAACATGAGGCCATTGACTTTGTGTGCAGTCTCGACATACGGAGACTTGCGCGACAATGCCACTTGGATCGATGCAGGACCCCACGGGATAAACCGCGCGAGCTTGCGTTCACGAATACGCTGTAGCGACTTGTGCACTTGAGTGGGGTCCACATCTCCCTGAATGATGTTCAGGATCGAGATGTAACAACCTGTTTTGGTTGATGTGCTCACCATGATGTTCTTAGGTTGTAGTAGACGTCGCATTACGTCCAGCACCGTCGTTTTTCTCACTGCTGACACTTGAGCATCGATCGTTAAGGGCGTGTATCCCGTCATCAAGAAGTGGCAGCGTGGAGTCGGGATTAACGACGCTACTAAGCCAATGAGGTCGTTGTTCATATAGCCAGGGTATCTCAACGTCGTGGTGCTTGCAGCCATGACGGTCGACACCAAAGAGTTCAACTGGGACACGGTAGGGTTCTCGACGCGTAGTCTCTCCACTGCGATCCTATTCAACGCCGTGTTGTCTAGAACCACCACCGAGTCTGCATTGAGTACTAGTCTCTTCATGGTTAGTAGAGAATTGTATGGTTGTACCACCACGTCACTCTGGAAATCCGACTGGTTGGGGAACACTGAGTACGTCTGGATGAGCTTCTTGGGAAAGTGATCATTGAGGTTCTCCAGTAAGTACGATCCCATGCCGGAACCAGTGCCTCCAGCAATAGAGTGACACAGTACAAAGCCCTCGAGACTGTCCGAGCCGTCGGCTTCTCGGTCGATCATCTCCATTAGCTGGTCATGATGCTCTTCTCCTTGGTGATACCCAGACGCCCAGTTGTTGCCGGCGCCGCCTCCTTCCTTGGATACAAAGAAGTTCTCTGGGTTGTATAAGTTTCGGAAGGTCGAAGTACTGATACTGTTGATGACACGCGGCTCCAGATCCATGAGCAGCGCGCGGGGGATGTAGTGCTCATCGTCTGCCTGATAGAAGAAAACATCTTTGCGGTCGTTGCCTGACGTGGCGAATTCCTGCACGATACCGTCCGCAGAGATGCCGTGTTCCACGCACAGCTGTTTCCAGAACTCCATACCGATCTGGTTGCCGCATTGGCCTGCTTGTAGAGTGATGATCTCGCGCGGCATCGCACAGAACTTACTGATGGATATGCCGCCTTGAATAACGCTGGAAACTTTGGTGGTGGTGTGAGTAGAACTTGTATCATATGGTGTGGCCTACATTAACTGTGGTAGAAGTCGTTCTGGTGGTCTGATGACAATCATTCCGAAACATTCAAGAGGTGTTGACGGTCGAGACGCGCAGAAGAAATGTTCCTGGAAGATGGCGTGTTTGCTGCTTGCCATGTGCAAGCAGCAAAGTTTATAGTACATGCGATGTTGCAGCTTGCAGCATGGTGGTTGTCGAGTCAGTTCTTCACTGAGGCAAATCGCTTGATCTGCAGGCTGTGAGAATTCCTTACGTGCTGTTGTTTAACTAATACCAGTGTTGCTAGCGCCAAAGAGTGCTGTTCACCACGAACACGACCTTGAGAAAAGTTGATCGAGTTCATTAGGAGCTCCACTGCAAGCGCTTGATACGTGTCCTGTTATTGGCACATCCGTGACATTTAGGTTGTGAGGTTGTCGTACGTCAGCAGGTGTTTAAACTTGGTGTTTGTATTCTCTTCGAACCCTGCTAAAGGCGATACAATGTGATCACCGCCGAAGTCGCGTTCTCCATTCCGCGATCCAAGCCCAAGAGCTCTAAAATGGCCGCCATCCGCTCCGCCGCCAAGAAGGCACCAACTGCCATCGCCATGTTCAACATGGGTGGACCATCCACTCTGTCTGAAGTGCAGAGTTTCCTCACTAACCTCTTTCTAGACCCGGAGCTGATCCCCATGGGTCCGGTGCAGAAGTACGTCGGTCCGTGGGTGGCTAAGCGCCGCACGCCGCAGATCGTGGACCAATACGCGCAGATTGGCGGTGGCTCTCCTATCCTCAAGTGGACTAACATTCAGGGCGAGAACCTGTGCAAGATCCTCGACGAGATCCGTCCAGAGGTGCGTAGAGCTACGTACGAACGAGAAGAGCTACGATACTAACTAGTGTGTGATGTAGAGTGCGCCACACAAGCACTACGTGTTCTTCCGCTACGCTAATCCGTTGACAGAGCAATCTCTGATGCAAATGAAGGAGGATGGTGTTACTCGTGCTATCGCCTTCTCGCAGTACCCGCAGTGGTCGTGCACGACGTCGGGATCCAGTATGAACCACTTGTGGCGTGAACTGGACCGTTTAGACATGAAGGAGGACTTCCAATGGTCGCTAATTGACCGCTGGAATACCCATCCAGGCTACATCTCGGCAGTTGCTAACCGTGTCAAGATGGGACTCGAGCAATACGCGCCTGAGGACAGAGACAAGGTGATCATCATGTTCTCGGCCCACTCTGTGCCCATGAAGACAGTGTACAAAGGCGACTCGTATGTGAACGAGATTGCTGCCACCGCTGAGCGTGTGATGAAGCAGCTTGCTGGCAAGAACCCGCACATCCTCAGCTGGCAGTCTAAGGTCGGCTACCTGCCCTGGATGGGGCCCAGCACTAGCGACGTGATCGAACGCTATGGCAAGCAAGGACACAAGTGCGTTAGACTGTGTTTTTGCGTTTCTAAATGGGTCTCTCATTTCTAATGGTGTTTTAAACTGCAGGCACGTTATGGCTGTACCCATTGCGTTCACTTCGGACCACATTGAGACGCTGTACGAGATCGACATTGAGTACGGCGAGGAGGCCGAAGCCGCTGGCATTACGGTGCGTTGCTCTTTGCTACAGTACGTTGCTGTGCAAGTATTTGACGTTTTTTAATGTGTTTGCAGAACTTCAAGCGATGCCCGTCGCTGAATGATGAGCCGCTGCTGTTTAAGGCACAAGCGGACATTGTGAAGACGCACTTGGACTCGGAGGAGCTGCACTCGTCGGCTTATCCTCTGAACTGCGCAGGCTGCACGAACCCTATGTGCCGCAGCATTGTGAACCCTATCAAACCTTACAAGAAGCTTCTGTAGAGCGAATTAAAGAGTCATTTTCACCCAGATCACAATAATTGTGTCTTAGACAACCTTGAATTTCACGTTGCGTCCATTGGTTTTTAAAGTTATTCGTTCTGATTTTAAACAGTAGGAACAGCTATGCTCTCATCACGTGAGCGTCTACAGGAACGTCAAGGGCAATACGCGGCGCCACGTCACGAGTACTTGCAACAATTGGTGGACGAGTTCCAGCGCTCGCCAGACATTCTTCGGAAGGAGGAAATCGTTGCAAACTTGGGCAATTTCGCCTATGACCCCATCAACTACGCGTCTCTCGGTCGTCTACGCCTTATGGATCTGTTCCTCGACATCTTAGATGCCGATCAAGAAGCCAAAGACTCCAACAAAGAGTCCAAGGCGTCGCAACAAGGACCCATCATAGAATCCTTACCAAGTCTTTCACGGAAGCACAAACTGGTGGAATTTTCACTGGGAGGAATCTGTAATTGCATCCCTGACCCTCCACTGCAACAGCAATTCATCGAGGGCGATGGAGTGGAGATCGTAGCGCCCTACATCCTCGAAATCTCGCTCGAGAACGAGCCAACGTCGTCTTCGGAGCAAAACGTGACGCTCTCCGCTCTAACTATCGCGTATTTCCTGTTAGATTCAACCGCATTCGCCAACATCACGTCCGACAGGTTCATGACCAAGATGCAGTCGCTCCAAAGTCATCGCAATGTTCAGATAGCCAACACAGCGGCAGCATTCCTCCATCGCAGCCAGGAGCTCCTCGATACGACGAAGTAACGCACTTAATCGAATGTAATACAAATCCCAAGTGAAAATTTACCAACTTCGTCATTTCCTCACTTTTTGAGCACAAAATGCTGTTCGACTTGGGCGAGGACGAACTGCAGACGCTGCTGGACATGTTCAAGTACATTTTGCTCGGTACAAACGTGCTTCTGTTCTTCACTGCAGCACTAGTATTTTTCACCTCTTCAGCCAATCAGAACTCGACGTCCTCGTCGACGCCAGCGCAGTTTAAACAAGCGCTGATTGTAACGGCGCATCCGGACGATGAGAGCATGTTCTTCCTGCCTCTGGTATACTCTCTGCAGCAGCAACAAGAAGGCTCCAACGAGGTCTGGAAGACACACTTGTTGTGTCTTTCTCGAGGCAATTTTGACGGTCTGGGGGACGTCAGAGTGAAGGAATTAAAGGCGTGTGCCACATACATCGGACTGTCGACAGATCATGTCAAAGTGCTGGAAGATCCTAAGCTCCAAGACGGAATGAAGAACCAATGGGATGTGGAACATATTGCCGCTATAGTGACGGATTATATAGTGAAGAACCAGATCGATGCGGTGCGTACTGAAGCTGTTGCGAGGTTTAGCTAAGTGGATACTGACGTATCTTACTTTAGGTCTTTACCTTCGATGATTATGGCGTATCAGGACACAACAACCATATTGCAACACACTATGGAGTCAAGCAGGCTATCCGTGAACAGCAGGAGAAGTGCAATGCAGCTAAGGACACAAGGATCGTTCGTGGTTGGGCTCTTGAGAGCACCAACATGTTGCGTAAATACGCAGGTGTGCTGGACACTGCTCTGTCCTTCTGGGGGTCACGTTGGAAACATGAAGAGCAGACCGAAAGGCAATTTGTTTTCGTCTTCCGACCGCGATGGAACTACAACGCGATGGCACTGCACCAAAGTCAGTTCGTGTGGTACCGCCGCCTCTTCGTGGTCTTCTCGCGCTACACATTCATTAACACCTTCCGCCCGATACTGTCGATTGGTAGTGCGGATCAGCCAGCAGAGCTCAAGAAGATACAGTAGGCAACACACAAGTAACCTCAGTCTCATTGTATGGAGATTAACCCAGCAAAAAACCCAGTGATGCGATGGTATTTAGTCGATAACGAAGCTTAGGCCAACCACCTGTACTTGAGGAGGAACGTGAAATGAAGCGCCATGTACGAGAGGACCACGAGAAGCAGCGAGTTACGAATAACTTCTTCCCTTGCCAGGCGAGACTTCAACGACGGTGCCACGTCCGCAACACTCATCACTCCCAGTGACAGCCAGAAACTCCACGTCCCATTGACCAGTCCTTCCAGTATAAACTGCCGTCGTGAGCTCGGGTAAACGAACACGAAGCCGTGCATTCGACTAAAGTAATACCAACCCCGACGGTGGATAATTGAGTGGAAGAACCCACTGAGCGCTACATAAATGACCCCCAAGCAGAGAACAAACCAGAAGAACCGCGTCCGCACCACTCCGAGTACAAACGATCGGTTCTCGTTCACCACAAGGCCGACGAAGGCCAAGAAGGCCAGCACCGGGATCAGTTCAAGTCCCGAGAACGTGTCATCATCAGGATGAACGGGCACTGTTGGGGAGAGGCCTCCACGCGCATTGCGAGTTAGATAGCCACTCCGTTCTCGGCACAGACTCACAAACGCTGAGATCTGTGTCGCTACCTTGGCCACTTCATCACTAGTATCCTTACTCTTCTCACCAGCAAATATTGATTTATTGGCACTGAGGTCCAGGAAATTGGTCTCCACGTGCGGGTAGCGCTGGAAGCGGCTTGAAGCACGTCCAGGTATCCAAAGCAGCGATGGAGTAATCGTCATCAAGTGCTGCTTTACACACAAGAACTGAATGAGTATGTGTCGTACCATAGCCAATTTCTCATCGATGCATTCATTTGGCTTACATAGTCCAGCATTTTGGGCCACCTTTGAGCGTCCACACGGACGAAGGGGAGCTGTGGAGTGGACAGCTTCTCTGCTGCGAGCTCTACGGACCTATCGACCAGCTTCTGATGATGTAGGCACGCCTCCTGGTCGATAGCGGGGGATTCTACTTCTTGATCCTCGTCACCTTGGTCGTTGTTTTCGTCGTAGCAGGTTGAAGCGGGTGTGAAATAGAGCAGTAGGGGCGTTGAGCGACTTCGGGAGAGCAGGAAATGCTCGTACTTCGCCCAGTCGAGCGACGGATTGACGGTTTGCTGCAAAGTAAACAGCGGAGACGCATCTCGAAATTGTAAAGGACTATCAAAAGTAGAAGAAGACGCCGCGCACACCGCGGAGAGACCCACAATCAACGCTGCTCTGAGCCGTGACCGTGCCATGTGCTAATGAAGGGGTCTGGGTTTTTAAGGTAATGACTTAATCACCCAGCCACTTCTAAAGTTTCTTGAAAAAAGCTTTGACCAAAATATTTTTTCGTATTCTCACAGCCTGAAGCTGAGATATGGTTGAATATCATCACTTATCCGACCTTACTTAGGTTTTGTATGCTCCTGAACAACCTATTACAAAATTTAAATTTATTTTGGCCAATGGAAATACAGAATGACGTGTATTTCCACCTCTAGAATTGCGTAGGGGTAGGGGGTCATCTTAACCAGTCAATCCGACGTATCGGGTCGGAAGGATACGAGAAATATGTGTATGCCTATTCTAAAACTAAGTGACGGACGTATCACTTGCATATTTGCAATACATCCGACAGGATGGGACTGGACGAGCTTAAGCCTGGAAACACAAAACGAGCTAAGGCAACCGCCATCGCAGCGTTCAAGGCTTTTGTAAAGAGTGAGTCTGTAGACTTTGAGTATGTCAGGAGTTGCATTGCGAAAGATGATAGTGGAAAGTCATTTGTGTCTATATTGGATATGTTTGGCATGTATATTGCCTTTACAGAAGGCAAGAAGGGTAAACAGCTTGCCCGCAACACTGCCATGCAGTATTATAGACAGACTAAGATGTGGCTTTTCGAGCTCTTCCCCACGCAGCGGCACATTGTCGAGGCAAAGTTGTTAAGTATGGGGAAGACGCTGGAGAACTTTTGTATGAAAAGAGACGGCAAGGTAGTGAGCAAGGCGCCACCATGCACGAAGGCAGATTTGCGTAAAATGATGCTATACTTGTATCAGAATGCGACTACCTCAAGCGATTATCAAGATGCAGCGCTACTATGTATGCTGTGGTATCTGTTTGGACGCGCTTCCGATTTTTCTCTCGTCCAGAAGCAGAATCTCACCATTGACGCTGCAGACATCCTTTTCGTGCGCTTCATTCGGCTCAAGACTTCTGAGGAGCAAGGCTTGTCGCTGTATCCCGACGAAGACTTCATCACGTGCCCAGTGTACGCTATGGCTCTGGCACTCATGGTGCAATACGCTCCGTGCGTCGACTTGCTCGATAATCTGCCGCCGCTTCCTGTTAAAGCCTCTGTCTCCTTGTCCCCCGCGACGCCGCTCCTGGAGGTACTCGACCATCCTGATGACTACGCTGCACTTGGTGCTGTGGCTGCTGCAGCGGACGGAGTAGTCGTGACTGGAAAAACGCCAACCATTTACTCCCACGTTAACAGAGTTCTTGACCGAGTCGCTGTCGCCGCTGGTATCGAGGTCGCCCTCTCTTCTCATTCCTTTCGCCGAGGCGGAGCGCAGCACGTCAACGGTTGTGACGGCCTCACGCATCGCTGGATTTTTGACCGTGGTGCCTGGAACATGAGTACAACAAACAAGGGGTTTAACTACATCTTCAACACAAGCCGCGAAGATCACAAGGTTAGCAAGGCTCTCAGCGGATACGGCACAGAAGCGAAGGTACCTTTGAAGGACTTGAAGCCCTTTGATGCACACACGCAGGAAAAATTCGCAGCTGTCCAGCAGTATCTGTTCGCGACGTGCCTGAGGCTAGAACGAGTCCAATACAACGTGAGTCACCGTGTTCTGGACGTTCTAACAGCTTACCTGTTGCTGCATTATCCCCGGCTAAAGAAACTTCATCCTGATGGACCAGCTGTAAAACGCATCGAAGAGTGCGTGGTTTTGGCAGGGTCATCACGCGCAGACTTGTTGGTTTGGGCGTCCCACCTGGCTGCTCAGAATATTGCTGCGAAGACACGTCTGCCAGAAGACAAGGAAGAAATATATCCCACATCGAACCGGCAACCAAGGCAAGAATGTGATATCATTGAGCACCAACGCCGTGTCATTGACCAGTTAGTTCTACTTGTTAAGAGGCAGGACGAACGCATGGATCTTCTAGAAGCGAAGGTAGGAGGTGCTGTGCAGCAACATACAAGCAGCAAACGTCAACATGATCCTGAACCCGACCCAGTCAAGCCAACCAAGCGTCGACGGACTTCTGTGACCTACCTGCACGCGACATGGTACGCTTGGTAGCTCAGGAACCCTGTTTTTTTGCCGCTGCAAACAAACAACAACGATCAAGCGCGATGCAGCTCGTCTTATACCTGAAATCGTTTCTTGGGGACGGCTTCTCCCTCAATCCAAGCGCATGCGACTATCGTGAGCAAGTTTTGGCGAGAGGAAAGCAGGCTGAGGTAGCGGTAGTTACCTTCCTTCGTGAGCGCAATATCATGTCACGTGGGTCCACTGCTGTTCGAAAGCACCTTCATGGCCTACACGCTGCTGGAGAACTAAACGACATGATCACACGCTACCATCGTCTGGTTAATGCTGGTGCTGTTCTAGATCCTGATAGACAGGACCCCTTTCAACCTGTAGCGGCAACATCGTGAGACACAAGCATTAGTTACCGTTACAATATCGGGAATTTCGTACACGTTCTTACTGCGAAAATGCGCACCCTGTTTCAGCACCACAACCACCATGATAAACCCGCAGTGGCCGTACTGGTATGCTAGCCCAATGGTGTCGTGTAACCCGTACACGTGTCGTGTAACCCGTACAACCCATACAAAAGGGTGTCGTGTAGCCCATACACGTGCCGTGTAACCCGTACAACCCATACAAAGGAGTGTCGGGGAAACCCGTACACGGGGTCGTGTAATCCGTACAACCCACACCAATGGTGTCCTTAACCTGGGTACACGCCACGTAACTCTCACGCGGTGTCGTGTAACCCGTACAACCCATACAAAGGGTGTGAA